TTTTTTTGAATAGAGTATATCAATTTGAGTTGGTTTTATGTTGACTTTATCTTTATTACATAATGCCTATTCGTGTATGACTTTAAAGATCAGATTATTTTCTATCAAGAAATTTTTAATAAGTGGAAATCGATTACTAGCTATAGAAGTGATTGCTATCGATTTATATTGATTACAATTAATTGCAATCAATTATTTTTTAATTGATTATGATCAATATAAAATTTAAAACAATCACTGGTAATCGATATCCATTCTTTAAACTTTTCTAATATCTATCAAGACCAATTTCAAATTCGTTAAGTTTTCTAGTCCTTAGCAAGTTGCTAAAAGCTTGATAACATTCTCAAACATTATAATCTATAAGCTGAACTTAGATTTGCTTAAAGTTAATCAGGTATAATCGTACTCGTTTTCAAGAGGTTTAATTTCCAAAATAGTGCTCGTCTATTTTTTTATAAAAAAAAAAATTTGTAACTGATATAAAAAGATAATGAATAAATAGATCCTAAAAGGATCATTTTTTTCCGTATAACTTTGTCTGTTTAATATTCTTTGACTATCAATTAACCTAAAATTTTATGTCTTCTATACAAAAAATCTCTTTTAATGATGCCCAAAAGCGTGAGTTTTGTATTTATGCTCACAATAACAAAATAACTTGTGCAAAATACATAGATTGGATTGAAACAAAGTGGAATGTTAGAGTTCATGAATCCACTATAATACGAATTTTGCAAAATAAGGATAAATGGCTTACCACTGAAATTATTAAACCTGAAAAAAAAAGAAATAGAGCTGTCATGATTCCGACACTTGAGCTTGCACTTAACGAATTTATACTAACCTATCAACATAGAATAATTTTAAGTAATACAATGTTAATCGAAAAAGCTAAATTACTTGCTAGTGAGTTAGGAGTTCCTAAAGGCACGTTGCAATTTTCCTCAGGTTGGCTTCACAAATTCAAAGAACGTAATAGAATTCATAAGGAAAAACTTTATAGTGAAGCTGAATCAGCTGATAATATAGCTATTAATCAATCTATTCCATCATTATGAAGCAAAAGTGCCAACTATCCTCCAGAATGAATTTATAATATAGACAAAACTGCTCTTTTTTATCAGTTAGAACCTGATTATTCATTAGCTACTCAACATCTTTCTGGACGTAAAAAAAATAAAGAACAAATTACTGTTGCTTTGTGTGCAAATTCGGATGGTTCACATAAGTTAAATCCTTTGATTATTGGAAAATTTCAATGACTACGATGCTTTAAAAATGTTAAAATTTCCAATTTGAAAATGACTTACTGAAATAGTACTAAAGCTTGGATGATAACAAGCATTTTTCAAGAATAG